GGTTGCTTTGTGAGTGTGTGTGCAGGGATGATGTTAATACTGTTATGGGGGAGAAGTAAAGGGTGAAACAATGCCGGATGCTTAGTCCAGAAAAAGGGACAGGCAGGGACTCCACTGGCCACCTTAAATCTGCAGCTGCTTTGAGCATAGAGCTCTCAGAGAAGATGGGGTGGGGAAGGTCCTACCTGTGGAGAAGGTACTGAATAGAGTATGTTCCAGTGGCCAGTCACCAGCTAGGGATCCAGCAAATAGTAAAGTGTATGAATGGGTTAGGAAAAACAGCATGGTGCTGATGTTTCCATAGAAATACTTGTCATAAGAATTGTCACCAGTCCATTCTGTTTCATGTAGTAGGTCTGCTGCTGGTGAGGATCTTCTATACCGTAATTTTCATTCTGATCCTAATTAAAGAATCCTAAATATTTGTGAAGCCCTTGGAATCCTCAGATGGCAGATACCATGGAAGTGCAATATTAAGAAGATAAACCAGGAGCCCAGCTGTAGCTCCATACTCTCAGGGCAAGAAGCAGAATATGAGGTCCCACGTGGTCTCAGAATTTGACTTATTGAGTCTGTTTTGCCTGTCATAATATGAAGCTATTTGTCTTACCGCTAGGTAGCATCAGCTGTTATAAAAACAGTGTAATAGGTAGATCTGATAGTGTCTGCTCTTTATTTTTCAGTTTTGGTGCTGGGGAAAAACTTGACCTGTAGGCTTGACTCTGTCAATGTTTTATCCATATTTGATGTTGAAAGAAAGGTGAGAGGTGGAGGAAGCATTATGTAATTCTCTAAGAAAGTGATCTAAATCTGACCCCTGCATTCTTGCTTTGCTCTTTGCAGATATGACACAGAAGGTATGGGAGTTCTCAAGGGAGAGCTGCTTCTTAAAAAACTAGGAGCGGAGTACCAAAACGGATCTTCAAACAATGCTAAAATTTCAGGTAAAAATAGAAAAATCAATTAATTTAATCTATAACATATAGTAATGCTCACATCTATCAGAAAAATAAAGTAGTAGGGTGAGGGTGTTATAGCTGTGATGGTCCAGGAAACATGTGAGAAGCAAGGGTTTTTGGCAGTATCTTTTATTGAACCAAATGTATAGTTAGAAAAGATATTAGACAAGCCTTTCAGGCACAAAGTACACATCCTCAGGTCCAGAAAAGAAGGTACAGCAGACAAAACAATGGCTTATGTTTAACTCCATATGTACATTAAAACAGTCACTAAGAGCAATGGTCAGCAACCTTTGTGCCCAAAAGTTTGTCTAACATCTCTCCCAATGATACAGAAAAAGAAGGGTCATAATGGAATGATTTATGGCATTAGATATGTATATACCTCTAGATCAGTGGCTCAATATAATTAAATTGTAAAAGCTTTTGACTAATAGCTATTTGGTAGCCTGTGCAAGGTGAATTTGGTTTCAGTCCAGTTCATACTGGGGACAAGATATCGAGACTACAAATCTTCCACTGTACTCACTGTTTACTAACATCTAAGCTTTTTCTATTGAACGTTAAACAGGTTCTGAAAACTTAGACTGTCTTGGTGTTGTCCTCAGACAACTGTTGGGTTGCCTCCATGGGGAAATAGCATGAAATAGCTCTTCCACATTAGTTCTCTATGTGGACTCTGTTCCACAATGTGAGTGCCCCTTTTAATGCACTTTGGAAATAGTTAACCTAAACTGCATCAAGGCACTCTTATTGTGGTATAAGGGTATCCATGCAGAGAATTAGTGAGGAGAAGCTATTACACATCAGATTCACACTGTAGTTTATTTAGCAGTAGCTTCCCAAGTAGATCATGCTCACTGCCTCTCCTTGGCTCCAAAGGCTTTTCTGGGAGTTTTTGAATGTTCCTTTGTATCAACATTTATGTGTGTTATCTGTCCAATGATACCATGTCATCTGCCCAATTCTATACAGGACACAACAAGGACAGCACACTGTAGAGAAACTTGCACTCCTGCTGATTTGGATGACAGAATTAGAGAACTCAGACTTGTTTATTTTGTGGACTACATCTTAAGATAAAGATCCCCTTATGGGATGGCTGTCATTCTAGCTATCTGGTCCTGATTCCTCATGTCCACTATACTGGAGAGAAAAGAAAATAGACTCACTTAAATGCAGTTGGTGCAGCTGCATGGTTATTCTCCTCCTCATTTTGTATCTTTGTTGATTATTTCTTCTTCCTGGGTAGGGGGTTTCCATTGTAAATGGGGACATTTCTTTGTTCCCTGCATACCCTGTTGTTCAAATCACCCAGCTCATCCTATAGCTTAATTGTGCCCTCTTTTCTGCTTTCTGCCTCTCAAATGTTTGTGTCACTTGCAAAGCTGTCCCTGAATTGAATTTACACCTAAGAAATATCTTACAAAGAAAAAGCAAAGCAGATGGGTGTAGATTGGTGATTGTTTTTCAGCTTGTTTGGATGAAAGGAAAGTATTTAAAAAATCCTGGACTCTGCTCCAAATAGAAATATCAAAGATAGACAACCTAGGGCTGTTTCACCACTATTATAAAAGCAGTTCTGCTGAACTCCTGAAAGTGGTCTGAATTCCTCCATGGACCAACAATTGAGCAGAATGGCAAGCTCTGTTCTGCAGGCCTGTCAGTCTCCCACCTTCACAAGCACTGGATTCCCTACTACTGTTGTTCATTCCTTGTTTTATTTTTAAGGGAAATTTGTGAAACTTAGTGGCTTGTGCATATACAATGGACATTTTGTAAGCAATCCAGTATTCCAGGGACTGTTGTTCATGGACTAGTGGATAAAGCTGTCTAAATCAGAAAAGCAGGGCAGTTGACTGCTGATGATACCATAGAGATATTTCAAGAGGCAAATCTCTAGTTGTTTGGATTTACTTTTTATTTTTATATTTAAAAATGACAACAATATGTTTAAAATACTACAATGCAGCAGGCTATAAAGATGAGGTATACAGTAAATATTTCAAGCTTAGTCACATTCAGAGAAAGAATTGAATCTGGGGGACAGGAGGGTTTTTACTGGGGTCCTCGCACTCATTCTGTGGGGGCAGATTGTACCAACTGTTTCCAGAGTTTTGTCAGGAAGATTGTTCAGTAACTGGACCTCTGATAGTTGCAACTGTGTTCTCATCTTTTGAATCCTTCTATTGAGTTTTGGTGCACAAAAGCCCTGTTACCTTTGCCAACACATTGCCTGTTCTTAATTTTGTTAATATTAAATAACGTTAAACTTCTCTTTCTGTGCCATATCCAAAGGACAAAACAGAGAAATTTCAAAAGTGGAGCAGGAACGTAGAGCTTCCCTAGGCATAGAAAGGTGGCTGAAAGATAAATTCAGAGAAGGGGTGAGAAGCATGAAAGAAGAGTTTGAAAAATATGATTCACAAAAAACAGGCAAGGTAAGATGCTTTCTTGTCTGTGAAACTGCTGCAAAGAGGGAGGTACACACAGCAAGTGCTGCTGAAATGGTGTGTGGGATGCAATGATGTCTTTCTAATAAGACACTGTGCATTAATAGGTGTTAATGACTAGGCGTTTGAATAGCAGATATGTTGAAAAGCAGGGCAAGCAGTTTCATCAGGTAGATTATACAGAGAGAAGACTGCTTGCCCTGCTTTTCAACATATCTGCTATTCAAATTGCTAGTTATTAACATCTATTAATGCACCTTAGGGTGCCTATACACGTGCAGTGAGGCTGCTCCAATGGCTGTAATTACCACACTCCAGCAGACTGCAGCATCATGTGTATCAGCATCCCCATGCTGAAACATGGCAGTGGAGATGCTTTAACTAAAGCTCACCAAATAAGCTTTAGTTAAAGCGCCCCCCCACCGCCATTTTTCAGCACAGGGACGCTGATACATGTGACATGCTGGGCGCTTTAATTGAAGTGGCTCTCAGAACCACTCTGATAAAAGCGCCCTTCCTGCCCCCCCCACTCCTGGAGCATGTATATAAACACCCTTAGGCTAGGGACAGAAGTTACACATAAACCAGTTTAAGT